AATCGTTGATGTAGACCGATTGTATGTGCGTGCTAGATCAGCCACGCTCACACTTCGTTCTCGCTTTTCAGTGATTTTACGTTTCATTTCTATGGTTATTTTTATTCTCTTATGGCTGTCTTTTTGCGGCTTTTTCTTCAGGTATATTTTTGTAAGGGTTATTAAACTTTGCACAAAAAAAAATCACAAATAATATGTCTGAACACAAGTTTGGAAAAATGTGTGATCACAAGCGACACTAAGATGCTAGTGGAACAAGTGCTAAACACAGACTGATGTAGCAAGCACACAATCCGGGACTTCCCCTTCTTGTCACTTGTTATGTGAAATGTCGCTTGTTAAGCGAGTCATTTTTTTACAATTTGTTTTGCTCATTATGCGAATTACTAGTTATGAGAGGTACTCATTAAGCGAGGTTCCACTGTATAGTTGACTGGAGTAAAAGTCGAAATGTGATATCGGAGGTGGCAGGAAAGCAGAGACCAGCACCATTGTAGTGAAATTGCCAAACTTTGATGGATCCACCTCTCGGATAGTGTTTCACTGAAAGTTGGAGGTTATTGCTGATTGCAGTGATAGGTAGCCCACGATAATGCCACACATTTACTGACCACTCTGTAGGGGCAGGCTGCTGACATCCTATACAATGTCACAATCAAAGCGACGTTTGAAGACATAATTGGGGCACAAAAGGACTGTTATATAGACCACCAGTTTGGTAGTGGTCTACCAGTGACACATCAAAGCTAGGACCCAGATGAGCAGTAAGTCACAACGACTTTGCAGCAGCTGTTGAGCATTTGGCCCACCAGGCCCTTGTTAGCTTATTTAGTTGTTACTTCATCGAGAGTGAGGCAGCCTTTGCATTCATCAGCGGAGTGAAGGACCTGGAGGGGGAACCCCACCTACTCATGGGTGCCAAGAGGTCCCTCAGTGAAGCTTGCCATGAAACAACAGCTGTGAAGGCATAAGCTAGGCTGGCAGTGAGTCTGGGAGGTAAGGCCTGCAGCCCCCATGCCAGCAACCGAGCACCCCAGGACTGGACAACCTAATATGCTGGCAATGTGAAAACATCTGTTACCACAGAAAAGACTGTTGACATAGACATAATGAGGAGGTTGACCAGGACTTGAGAGATTTTAAGAGCTGGTGTGAAGACGGTGCTGCTAGCATCATCACTCTTGTCCCCTTGTTTCACACAACATATTAGCCAAGAGGAATAATGACTACCTAATCATTAATAACTTGACACATGACCATCCACACAGGAGCATCTGTGACCACTGCTGGGCCTGACATTACTGCAGGACTGCCCAAGAGGAAGCCGTGTTTGTCATATGTTCTGCAGAAGGTGTCCAGGAGACACTCCCTGTCATGAAGGAGGCCCTGGTGGAGCTGACTCCAGGATGGAGTGCGCTGTGAATTTGGGTGTTTGTTGCAAAGATGACAGACAAATTGTCCTGGGACTAGACATTCTGCAAGCCCATGAAACAGCAGTGGATTAGAAGTGCCACATGCTGTGACTGAGTGAAGAAAAGCTTTTTTTATGGTGCCCTGGAGCTCAACAAAGATCCTCCTTCCTGACCAATCTTGATGTGACAGAATGATGACTGTGTGGTTGGAAGATCCACCGGAGGTGGCAAACTGCGCTGTGGAACACAGCTTGAAGTCTTATTACCATGAAGGACTGCATATAGCCAGGAGAGGAGGTACCCGTTAAAATAAAGAATGTGGGCAATTGTGAGCAGATGTTGCCTGAAGGCTCCACCCTGGGGCACTGCAAATCAGTCAAATGAATGGCACCAGTTGACACTTTGGAACCTAAAACTCCAGGACTCACTGGCTGAGTGAACAGCTGCAAAAGTGATGTCTGGTGCCAGTCTGAATCTTAATGCTGGAGAAATGTGAGAGTCAGTGAAGTTAATTATTGAATTCCAGCATATCCTTACAGTGAGGAGTGACATATATGGGTTTGATTGAGTGAGTTTACCACTGCATTAACACGAGCAACACTCATCCGCTCCATGAGCCTGCACATGTACTCCCACTAGCCAGACAGGCTGTGGTAGATGACGTTGAACGACATGAAGGGACAAGGGGTAGTTGAGGAGTCAGTCCTTGGTCTTCACCTGTCATGCTTGACAGGAAGAAGGACAAATCCCTTTGGTTCTGTATGGACTACTGATGGCTGAAGGGCATTACAAAGGATTGCTTCCTGCTACCAAGGATTGATGACAACCTGTATGTGCTTATTAAGACCAAGTGGTCCTCAACTCTGGATTTGAAGAGTGGCTACCAGCAAGTGTTCTCTTCAGGACAGGGTCTGTGAAAGTTCACAGTTATGCCCTTTGGCCTTTGCAGCACTCTAGAAACGTTTGTGTGGCTGATAGAATTCATGCTGCTGGGCCTTCCTTACAAAACCTGCCTTATGTACCCGGATGATGTGATTATTGATGGCCAGACACTCCAGGAGCAACCTGACAACCTGTGGATGGTGTTACACATGTTCTGAGGGGCTCACCTCAGACTGAACCCTAAGGCAAGAAGGGGAACAGGGAGTTTTGAGGTTTTGAGAGAGAGAGAGGTGTGTGCCAATCGCCAATGAAGCTATTCTGCTGCCAGTTCCCTGTCCTCATTTAGTCCCCCAACAATGTCTATAATAATCTGCTCAAATATTCTGGCTCTGTGGATGCATTCAGTGTTGTCAGAATATTTTGCAGTTTTTTGGAATCTGCATTGGTCTGTTTTCTTGAGAAGTTTGCATGATGACGGTTTTGTCCCAGCCCATTTTTAAATTTGTCTTTTTGAAACTTTTTTATGATTTATTAATTTTATTTTTCAGTCTTTCTTTGTCCTTATAAAGCAGTGTATTGATTGTATATACTGTCATGATTTTAGAATGACTGTAGGCGGGGTTTGGTTTGGTGATCAGATTTACAATAGCACACGTAGTAAAGACAAGCAGCGGCACGCACACAGGAAGACTACACAGAATAACACCTATACAGTGTGGAAACAAGAACTAGCCGCTCCAGCACTTTAGACATAGGGCGAGTAACCCTAACAATTTTAAATTTAAAATTTAAAATTTAGAGAAAATTTTAAAGGATTTTAAAATCATAACTAAAGATTTTATAGTGCTACTACAGGAAAATCAAATTTGACGTGTGCAATATAATCTACATACCAGACACATATCAACGAGGTAGATGTTGATAATACGAAGAAAATAACAATGTGTTTTTAAATGTTAAATTTTAGACTGGGTTCAGTGTGGCAGCAACATTAAGAGTATACACCTGATGATGGCCAATAGAGGCCGAAACATGTAGTGTAGAAGAGAACAAGATCAAAGACAATAATATATATTGTTTGCACTTGAGACGGAGTTTGTATCATTTATCATGATCAGATTTATTGAATGCTTACAGAGCATACCTACAAATAACTATGACAGTCCCACTGAGTTACACACTCCAAAGATCATTCTAACTACAGCACACCTAAAGTCTTCTCAGTTTGCTGTGTCTTCTTTAGATCTTGCCTTATGATAGATCCCAGCAGTGTCCTCTGCTTCCGTGCTCATGTTCGTACCAGCTGGCAACTGTCCCACAGCTGTCGACTTTCAACTAACTATCCTGCTTATAACATCTCAGCACAGACCACGCAGAAAACACTGTTCCTTTGTTTCTGTGTCCAATTGTTGGCATGCAGACATGCTTGTTTGCTAAGGCTTTACTGAGTATATTTGCTTATGTTGTGGTCATTGCCCAGCAACAGGTCTACATGCCACATTATCAAGAGTCTTAGATCAATGTTTGCACCATTTTCTGTTACCATTGCTATTTTATCCATTGCAACATTAAAACAGAAACCAGAATGGCTCAGTTGGTATAGTGGCAGGCTATGAGCTGGACAGCAGGGTTCAATTCACACAGTAGTAGGGGATTTTTGTCTTCTCCACAGCGTCCAGACTGGCTGTTGGTCTCTCCTAGCCTCCTGTCAAATGGGTACCTGAGGCTCCTTCCCAGGGTCTAGAGCCACTCTGATGTGAAGCTGACCTCTCACTCCATCTACTGCCAAGGTCAAGAATGGTGGACCTGTATCTCCACACCCCCATATGCCTTCATGTCATGGTGCTGAATTAATTCAACACAGAGATAACTTTACCTTTTTACCCTTGCAACATTAAAACACTGACAGTGGGAATGTTCTTCCCTGTCACACTCCGCTTAAACATTTCAGACGATTATTGTATATCAGGAGTTCCTCCTTGAAGGATATAATGCTGTGTAGTCCACTGAAAGTCAGCCAATGTTTTCAGAGGAACATGTCACCTCCACGTTCTTCTGAAACATCAGTTGACTTTCAACAGACCGCATGGCATCATATCCCAGGAGATAGACCTGTACATAAGCTCAAATTCTACATTCATATGTATTGTTAAATTTTACACATCTCTACATTTTAAAGAAGTACAGATAGTTTTAATTGTATTGATATTGTGTGATTTCAGCGCAGAAGTTGCTAGATGCTTGGTATGGGAAGGGAGCTGCCAACTTGCGTGACATATCTATCCCAGTGCCAAAATTCTCAAGAGAGACAGGTGAGGTCATTCTTGCCCACCTCCTAGTCACTGGTTACTTGCAAGAAGATTTCCATTTCACACCCTATAGCACCATCAGCTATCTGAAGAGAGGTATGAGTGACTTGTATAGTAAAACCTCACTGAATACACTTACAGGGTAAGAGATGTTCCAAATCTGCAAAGAGTCTGAATTATAGATATTTTCAAGTAATAGTTCATAAAAATAAAGCTATTCACAGTCGAACAACAGATGTTAATGTACAGTTTATTAGGTTACAAAGACTGTGCTGGAAAGAAAAACGAACTTTAATTAAAGTCAGAATTACCAGTTTTTTTGGACTTCATCCATCATCCGGTATCCTAAAAACTAAAGAGCAAAACATTTNACCACATATACACGGTGCAAAATCCCAGAAGACTGCTTTCTTCATCTTGGAAACTGGATCAGTTTCCATCAGGTGAAGTGGGGAGACACCTACTCTGTTGGGTCCCTTAGAGAAAGGTAACCTCAGTATACCCAATAGAGTAGGTGTCTCCCCCCTCACATGAGGATGGAAACAGATCCAGTTTCTGAAATGTTGCATTCTTTAGTTTTTAGGATAGTGAATGATGGACAGAGTCTAAAACCCCATAATTCTGAATGTTATACACCATCATCAGAACCCTTTAGAATCTAACTTAATTCAAGTGTTCATATATAAAGCAAATTGAACATAAATGTGAAAACTTGTATTGTTTTATTTACAGATCAGGTATTGTATGCATGCAATACTTGTCTAAGCTGAGAGCAAGTGTGAAAATGTATCATTAAATTCTTAATTCTGAAAACCCAGTAATTCTGGATATCATCCACCATCATCAGAACCCTTTAGAATTCATTAAATTCTTGTTCAAGAAAAGTCTTTGTTTTGCATAAGTGAAACATACTAGCAAAAGAAACAAACCTAAGTTATAGAGTGTCCTAATATATAAGGTTTTACTGTATTGTCTGAATGCTTAAGGTGCCTGAAGATAAGTCTGTCCTTTTTGTATTGTCCTAAGAGAGAACTTCTTAGAAACCTTTCTGAATATTCATGTTATGTTGTGGTTTATGACATTGTCAAGTCTGGTGAGTGGCTACTCATGTTTAGAGGAACACGATTCTTCCGCCTTCAGTGTAGGAAGTAGTTTCTTCTACCTTGAGGATGGAGTCAATATGTTCTACCAAAACATCAGTGACTACAGGTTATAGTAATACTGCAGTATGGATCTCTACTGCTGTGAAAACCTGAAATTAATTTTTGGAAAGGTTACAGAATATACAGTGTTTACTTCTGTGAGAACTGTCAGTCATAAACTTTGTCAAGAGATGGAACCCTGTGCCAGACCCATAACATTGATATCCATTTAATTGTATGAAAAAGCAGGTTTAAGCCCTGCTTTTTGCTAGTTTCTTGCTAGTCTTACTCTTCGACCTTGAAGATGGAGGCGGTATGATCCTCTAGAATGTTGGTGGACTTCTACTGGACTACCCAGGGTTTCGTCTCAGGAGATATTACTCCTCAACATAAAACTGTAAGATGTCAGTGAATCTTTCTACTTGGAGTGTTCTTAACCACTTCTGAATGGGATTGAAACTCCACAAGATGGAATATATTTAGCATGCCAGGTGTAATTCATTTCCAGTTTTTAATTATCTGAAAACTTGTAGAACCACCTGCTCACTCTTGTCATGTTCATCTGCCTATTAGTAACAGTGCCTGAAGTATGTTACTGATTCCAATGAAACTCACCGTACTACCCCTGCACTAAAGTCATTTTGATTTTGGTGTAGTTTGATTCATTTCAGGAGCCATTGTATTTAAAGGCCACCTGAACTTGTAGTGTGATAAACTCATGGTTATGCAGTATCCAGGCATCTGAAATTCTCGTTCTCAGTTGGTAGAAATTTTAAAGTGAAGCAAAAACATGTTTTGACTTTCTGTTTGGTTTCTGTGAGAGTTTTTCTCATATAACTGGCACATGTCATTTGCTATACATGTTTGATAATGAGAACTTTGGTGTATATTTTTTAATTCCATGACATTTTGATGAAACTGCAGTCTATATAATTTCTGTGTTTATTTCAGGTCCTAAGGCAGCAGCAGCCATGTCAGACAAACATAATATTATAATGCATATTAGTGGTAAAAGTGTGCCGCTGTTATCATCAGAGGAAAGCCACAAAACTGAAAGAAAGATTCCATTGACATCAAACAACAAATCATTAGCCCCATATCAAAAAATTGAAACATTGAATGAGACAATGACAAAATCAGTTAGTCTTAAAACCACCCGTGTCCCAAAGGTTGAAGTCTTGGATCAAAGAATAGCCTCTGATGATGACATTCAGGTTTGTGGTGCAGAAAAGAGGAGATCCTCATGGAAGAGAAAGGTAATTGTGCTAGATACTGATTCAGATGATTGATTTTATTGCATCCACAATTAGCAGCACCCTTGACTATGAATCAGTTTATACATATATTCATACAGACTGTGGAATCTCTCCAAATGGACATAAGCCCAAGACATCAAATCAGTTGCTGTAAGTGAGGTTGTTATCCACAATTAAGGCATTTGTCAAGTGTTGTTAATGTAGTAATTTATTTTTATAATATATATTGTAATCATTACTAGCTGATTAAAACAGAAATATATTGTAATATTTTTTCATTATTTATTTGACTGCAATATAATTTTTACCCAGTGGCACTGTACTTAGCACATGTTCTGCCATAGATGACTAATTGAAAACCACATTCAATGTTGCAGTACTCATTTTTCTGTTTGAGTGCTTATAGACTGATGAATGCTTTGGTGGTATATAAATGTTAGTTCTAGCTGTACAGCTAACTTTTCAGGGTTGATATTCTAACTTAGTTGACATATGATTTGATAGGCAGTATGTGAGTGGGAAGGTGTATCTAATGGTTGTGCTTTGAATTGTAAGTCATTAATAGAACAGTGGATATAGCCATGAAAGCATTGTTGCTTTGCAGATGCGTCTGTGAAAGCACCATTAGCACATGGACAAATAGAGTGTTAGACCAGCTTTGATCATGTTGCACCTTAGTATAACTGTAACTCAACGAGGGCAGTGTCTCTGTCGTGTGTCTAATATGTGTTCCAAAAAATGACAATTGCAACACAGTGAGCATGTGAAACATTCAGTAGAAATGCACCCAAGTTAAATTCATCAATGATCTAGTGCCCATTGATTTCACTTTGTAGAAATCAAATTTTATTGTTGATTAAGATGAATGTCACAGCATAGCAAGAAGAAGAAATATGGATAACAACAGAATGTGGAAATCATTTACAGTAGGTGACAAAATAAATATTTTGGCACAAGTTGATGCACATATTGGAACGTGTTTAACTGGCATCATGCTTGAGACGTTTAAGTGTTTTTGCTAAAAATTATCATGAAAAATTGAAGGTATGTCCAGTATGGACCTTTCTTCAAGCAGCAGAAATCAGTGCAATGTTTGCCACTGAAGAAACTGGAATGTACACTTGAGGCATGATTCAAGCAAGCACATGAGAGTAATGCTACCATAGATGGTACCCAACTCAAGGAGAAGACCTTGCACGTTGCTTCTCACCTGCAAATAGCCAACTTTTTGGCTTTCAGTGGATGGATTCACAGATTTAAGAGGAGACACATTATTTACAGAACTTTGTCAGGTGAGAGCAGGAGTGTTGATCCAGGAACTGGAAGACTAAAAAAATGACCCACTATTGCAAGAAATTGGAGGCTATGGCCTCTGTGATATATGCTGATGAGATCAGTCTACAACGTAGCAAAACCTTAACTTTTCAAGGAGATTTTTCCCATGGTGGTATAAAATGTAAGCAGTGGATTAGTGTACTCCTCACATGCAACACTGATGGTAGTGGTATGCTGCCTCCTCTTGTAACTGGAAGATGTGGAAGTCCAGGCTGCATCAAGAATGTCAAGAGACTGCCTTCAGAATATAAAGCTAATACAGATTTTTGGATGACCACCAAAATATTTAATATTGCCTTACACAACTAGATAGAAAACAGGGTTCTAAAAATCACAAAATCTAGCCTTTCATTGATCATTGTGCTGCCAATCTGAAGAACACCATATTTCTGAGCAATATCAAAGTTTTATTTATCCCAGCTAACTGTGCTGGACAGCTGCTGCGTTTAGATTTGGGAATCATCCCTGCATTCACACACCATTACAGAAAGCAGTTGATTCAGAAGACTGTAGCCATGATAGACGGGGCAACTGCTCCAAGATGCTTCGCAGATGAAGGTGGATGTGTTGTCTGCAGTGCACTTAGTAGCAGAACTTTGGAGATTGATAACACTCACTGCACTCAAGAATTGCATTGTGAAGTGTTGTTTCTCGATTGATTATGTCAGCATTAACAATGACAGTGGGGTGAAACTCACTGAAGATGAATAGTGTGGCTGGCACAGTTTACAGCCTCTTTGATTGCAGTTTGAGGACTACACAACATGTGACAGTGCTTTTGAGGTTTTTGGAATCCAGAGTGTGGGCTGTGTGTTAGATCAACATTTGACCAGGGCAGAAGAGGAGGAAGTTGCAGAACATAAAGCAACATTCTCTGATACACTGAAAGGACTGGAAGCAGCCAGAAAATACTCGTGTCAGTTTCATACCAAGAACAGTATTATTGTAATGGGCGGTGAAGTTGAAAATTAGTTATACAAACTGAGAGCTCTAGAAAAAGAGATACAAAACACTCTTGTTGAGTGGTTGAAGAAATAGTATAACTAGGTATGTACGATATTTGCGAGTCTATCCAGATGAATGCTGGGATAGTACCATCAAATAGACTACAACCACTTCCTTCTTCATCTTTCCATTCATCAGTTACAATCACCATCTCATGTTATTGATGCCACATAAAAACATCAGTCAGTAAAGCATTATAAAATAAACGAAGAACCATGTTTGTATCTACGTGTACATAGTGAAGTGTTCAAACATGTATTTTTTAAATTATCTGCTAAAGTTATGGTGTAAAGAAAACCAGATTTTATTTACATTGTATCATTCCCAAGTCCCTTATTTTACATATACTTTAGATGATCCCTTAAAAAATTTAAAGTCAAGGTTTCATTGCATTAACTTGGGATCATTGAAACTGAAGAGTTGTTGAAAGTAAGCCTGAAACTGAGAAACATTAAATGGGGTACTTGTCAGTGAAGCTTAGTTCTTTTTACTTGTAATATGAATGTTCATGCTGTGAAATTTCAGGAAATTCAGTATAAAAAGTGAATAGGAAACAATAAATTCTCAAGTGGACTATTTTCCTTAAGTCTTTTGTATTTCATTTCACTTACTAAGGCACTATGCTAAAAGCCGGAAGGTTACAGTTTCAATTCCAGATGAGATCATTGGATTTTTCAGTTGACCTAATCCTTCCAGCCGCACTGTGGTCCTGAGGTTGACTCAGCCTCTAACAGGCATGAGTACCAGGATTCTTCCTGGTTGTAGAAGGCAACTGGCATGTAATGCTGACAACCTCACTACCATCTGTGAGCCAATTATTAAGAAAATGTGGGAGCTTCGATATTTCACGACCCTGTGGGCCTCCATGGCCTGTGACAGGGATAGCTTTATCTTACCTTTTACCATTTATTAGAAGTGATTCTACATTATGTGAAATCTGAGGTTCTCATGGTCATATCAAAATCATAGTCTTGTGAAATGTGACAGCGTGTAGTTTGGTGCATAGATACCAAAATTTTGAATGGACATGTTTGTTCTGTCTTCTGTCTTCTAATAGTATGGTCTTCGTAAGCATTGTTGTGACAACCTTAGATATCACCTGATAGTGACTTTTATTTATGAAATGACCCACGTATATTACCAGTGTTAACTATTATGAACCTGTTTTGCTGTTGCATAAAACAAACAGATCACAAGAAAAAACTCTTTTGCTGTTAAGGTATTGTTTGCATTCTGGAGTGTGGATAACATCTAGATGTGGGTATGTGAAAGGTAGTTAATATTTGTCATGGAATGTGAATATGGAAGATACTTTCCTTTTCAAAGCATGCTGTTGATATTTATAGAAAGAAGTTCAGTGAAGCCAAGTCCAAGAGCTGTAATCTGAGGGTAACAAGCTAATCCCAGTTAACACTTGCTATGTACATATGACTACATGTATTTGTATCTCTGTGAATATTATAACATACACATAAATGAAATCCATAGTATATACTTTCTGTTAACTTCAAGCATGCCCAGAAAAAAATGCAACTGACTGTAGTGTACAAATTGTATATGTAATGCCTAAGTCACCATGATGGTACAGTAATCCTTCCTTGATATATATTATAACTAAGAAAACTGAAATTGGCAAGACAAAGGACTCGTGGGAAACTGGGGATTAGGAGAACCATAGCCACTGTTAACACTTATCAAACCGTAAGTAAAGTCTGTTCCTTCACTAAACCAGAGAAAAAATAAGATGAGAAATACAAATATAAGAAAGCCTCACAGCAAGATGCACTGCAGTAGAATTGCCAGAAACTAGGAAACAGGTTTTGAATACCATTACAGACTTTTCTCCAATAAAATCTGTTGGTATTGTAGCATTTGTATTTCCAAGTAATGGCTCTGTAAACAAAGCCTGTTGCTAGGCACAAATTCCTAACACGCACCACTGGACTAACTTGGAAGCGACGTTTTCTACATAATCCATGTGACAGCTGCGTGACATAACAAGAGAAGAACTGGTGGAATGGTGTTTTCTATCTGGTCCATGCTGAGGTGTTCTAAGCAGGACAAGTTAGAGTTTAATTAGTTGGGAGACAGTTGCCAGCCAATAAGAGCATGAACATGGAAGGTGAGGAAGCTATGGCATTGAAGTCATTAGCAGACAATGACTGGTGAAGACACAACAGACTGAAAAGACTTAATGTGTGCTGTAGTGAATTGTGAGTGTGTGAATTAGTGTTAGCAAATCAAACAAATCAAACTTAGCGATAGCACTATAGTTACTTGCAGTTACATTCTGTAAATGTTCAATAAATCCAATTACCATTCCAAACTGTGTCTATAGTCATGCATACATATGACAGTATGAGTTTTTCCATGTGTACACAAATTAAAATCTTAGATACATATAACCAAATACCATAGCTGTCAAAACTGGATACAACTGTGAAGCCACAACACAGGCAGTCTTAACTTGTGGTGACATTTATTAGACAGAGGAAATCAACTTTAATGGTTGGATGAAGGCCTTGCTGGTGCTGATTCTACAGGATATTGTGAAGAGGACCTAGATGTTGGGGGCTCTTCTGCTGACTTTCATGGTGTCTCATCAGCTTTTGTGACAAATTCTACAAGAGAAAGTAAAACACATGCCTTCTTTTCTTGGTAAAGAAGTCTATAGCAAGATGTAACTCTTTCAGCATCTCTACAGACCACTGAACTTCCTTCCTGTTGGGGTTAAATTCTTCCACAGTGTTCAAGAATTTGACAAGGTAAGTGAAAGCTTGATTGGGGTTCTTCGTACTAAGTCTTTGTGGGAGGACTTCGATTTCATCATCATCATCTTGATCTTGAAGTGATGCCTTATTTGGCTCTTGCATGACAGGTTTTTCATTGGACACAGGCTCTGAATGAGATGCAGTCAATGCATATACATC